CTTCCTTCCATTCTCTCTTCCCCCATCTCATTTAGTGCTGCCACAGGGCAGAAGCACATGAACAAATCACTCACTCTCTGACTTCTCCTAAGCACTTTGAGCTGTTGAGTGGGGCTCAGGGAATGAGTTGTCGCTGCCCTCCGCAGCTTGGTCACAGGGTTATTGAACTGCCTGCACTTACTTCCCACGGAACTCCAACGTTCTTCCCAGAAGTTGAGCTAGGGATAGCAGTTGGGTATGGATTTCCCAAATCTGAGAGTCTGACACATCTTGTTGAGACTGGCAGCTTTCCTGGACTTCTGTCCAAGAGGTAGTGGTTTGTTTGCTGAGGCCTGATATCTATCCCAAGGGGTAGAATGGGACCAAGTTAACTGGTGTCAGGTCAAAAGTGGAGGCTCTTTGCTTGGACTCCCAATCATGGAAGGACTGGAGCTCTCCGTACAGTCTTGGGAAAAGAATTACTGAGTCTGACAAGATTATGATCAGAGAGATTAGGATTGGATGTTGACATGGGATTTAGAGTCCATCTAAATGTTGAAGTTCCCTGTGACAGATCAGCTCTCAGCTGCTGAGCCTGTGCCAGGGCTGTGCAGCCCCTACCAAGAGGCTCTGCTCCCTTTCCCACCTCTCCATTGTTGGTGTTGTTGCTGCCTTTTGATTTATATCCTCTGTTACTGATTTTAAAAAAAGATTCCTTCTTTCATCATGCACAAGTGCTGAGAGCCTGAGGCCCCATTTCTGCTGTGTATATATCCTGACTCGGGGCTTTTATTCAGCAAACTGTTCATTCTTCTGTCAATGTCATATTCAACTCTGTTCATATTAAACCACTGTGAAGCAAACATCTGTTGTCCAGTTTTTTTTAGTTATCTAGGATATTTTTGAGTATTATGCAGAAATCATACAACATGGTCAATTTCCTGAGGTAATAAATTTTGCATTTACATTAAAAAAAGTGGAATTCTAGCTGCCTATAGTGATATTTACCATTCCTTGCAACTAGCAATTTACTTTGTCACAGAGGTAATGAGTACATGTTTGCAGGAAGTAGCCATAGGGCTCAGTACCTATGATTTGCATTAGATTTAGGAGAGTTGGTTTTAAGCTTGTGGGTTTGTGTTAGTTTGCAGAATATATTTAGTGGTGTGTGTGTGTGTGTGTGTGTGTGTGTATTAATAAAAGGGTAATATGCTAAATAGACCATATAGACTGAACGTCTTCTGGACGTCCTTTTGGACCTCCTTCCGGACAAAGCCATGGTGGTGGGGGCCAAGGCAGAGCGGTTAGGGGTGATTAGGCCAGCAGGGGAGAGCAGTTAGGGGCATCAGACAGGCCGGCAGAGATGGTTAGGGGCGATCAGGCAGGCAGGCAGGTGAGTGGTTAGGAGACAGTCCCAGATTGCGAGAGGGATGTCCCAGGCCTAGACCAGCAGTTGGACATCTCCTGAGAGTTCCCGGATTGGAGGGGGTGCAAGTTGGGCTGAGGGACCTACCCTCCCCACACCCCCTGTGCACAAATTTCGTGCACCAGGCCTCTAGTATATATGTTCATGTGTTATATGGTACATAAACACATGTATTTCTTTTATTTTCCAAGACACCCACACATACCACCAACAAATACTATTTCTTTTATAGGCTTTGTTCCTCAATTGAACTCTTTTCTTTGAAATAGATTTGATGCAGGCAGAAAGGTGAGAACAGTTGATGGGTGGATATTTTCAGTGTGTTTTGAAATGGCTTCCTACACAAAGTGGGTTTTGGGAAAAGGTTTGGAATACTAGGATATAGGAGTCTTGTCATTTTGAAAGTCAAAACTAGTTGTTTTTTTTTAAAGAAGATTCCATTCTTTTTTTTATTATTTAATTGATTTCAGAGAGGAAGGGAGAGGGAGATAGAAACATCAAGGATGAGAGAGAATCACTGATCGGCTGCCTCCTGCACACCCCCCCACTGGGGACGGAGTCCACAACTCGAGCATGTGCCCTTGACCAGAATCAAAGCCGGGACCCCTCATTCTGCAGGCCGATGCTCTATCCACTGAGCCAAACCAGCTAGGGCTAGTTTTTTGTTTTTTAAATGTTTTTTATTCATTCCAGAGAAAGGGAGAGGGAGAGAGAGTTATAGATATCAATGATGAAAGAGAATCATTGATCAGCTGCCTTTATTCAGTAGTTTTTTGGTGGAGTCTTTAGGGTTTTCTATGTACAATATCATGTCATCTGCATATAATGACAGTTTTACTTCCTCCTTTCCAATTTGGATGCCTTTTCAGGTTTACTTTTAAAATACGAGCTCGTTGTGCCTGGCCGGCGTGGCTTAATGGGTGAGCATCGACCTATGAACCAGGAGGTCAGGGTTCAATTCCCGGTCAGGGCACATGCCCGGGTTGCGGACTGTATCCCCAGTGTGAGGCATGCAGGGGCAGCCAGTCAGTGATTCTCTCTCATCATTGATGTTTCTCTCTCTCTCCCTCTCCTTACCTCTCTGAAATCAATAAAAATATATTTTTAAAATATTAAAAATAATATAACACTTGGTGACTAATTTAGCTTGTGGTTCTCTGCCACTCCCTCAACACATACCACCCCTCATTCTTAGATCTATTTTTGCCTTGCTTGTACAAAAATTGTTCTCTATTTTAATTTATTTTCTTACCTTGTTCTATCTGTTATCTATTCATTATCTATCTATGCTTTTGAAAACAGAAAACTCATTCCTTACAAAACACATACAAGTGTAATTATTAATACAAAATAATTTTTGTTTGTTTTTTAAAATATATTTTTATTGATTTCAGAGAGGAAGGGAGGGGGGAGAGAGATAAAAACATCAATGATGAGAATCATTGATTGGGGACCTCTTGTATACCCCCTATGGGGGATGGAGCCTGTAACCCAGGCATGTGCCCTTGACTGTAATTGAACCCTGGACCCTTCAGCCACAGGCCGATGCTCTATCCACTGAGTCAAACCAGCTAGGGCATAAAAGGATTCTTTAAATCACAGCAGGCTTCCTTTAAATGGGTACTTCCTGTGGTGATTTTAAGTGCTTGCATATAGATCATTAACTACTTGATATAGTGAAAATGAAGGTAAAGGATTAAGAGAGGCATTGCCAATTGAAGATCAATCAGGAATTGGATAAAAATAGTTCTTAAGTGAAAAATAAAATACAGTTAGATTCACAAAAATTTGTATTTTTTTAAAAAATGGTACATTATTATACAAGTAATGTTTTTTTGTCTAATACAGTCAACTTTTGATCATCTGTGCTAATGGGTGATATACATTTTTATTTTATTATGCATTTTTCTTAAATTTATACATAGAGGTATCTAATACTCCTAAGACATTTTCTACTATGTAATCAGAATGAAGACTCAGGAAGATCTGAAAAGAAGTAGAAAGAGTAATAGGCCTGGAATAGTGACCTGAGTTCTAGAGCTGGCTGTGCTATTAGCTGGCTGGAGCACCTTAGGCAAATTGCTTCACCACTCTGGGCCTGTTTTCTTAACTATAAAATGATGAGGGGATTTGACTAAATGATATTTGTAGTATCTTAAATCTCTCCAAACCTTGCCCAGGGATAAACCCTGGAAATGATAACACCAAAAAGGTGAAAGCACAATTTTTCCCATATGATGGAGTTTGCTGTAGCGTAGTTTTCTCTCCCAGAAATGAATGACTTCACTTACTCTGATCAGATTTTGTTTGCCCACATACTCTTGTATCAAGTCATATCAACACCCATTGAAACTTGGTGTTGATTTGATTTACAGTTGCCCTAATTTTATTCTAGGTTTTCTAGGTGAAAAACATTTTTTTAAAATATATTTTATTGTTTTGTTTTGTTTTTTTTTTACACAGAGGAAGGGAGAGGGATAGAGAGTTAGAAACGTCCATGACAGAGAAACATCGATCAGCTGCCTCCTGCACACTCCCTACTGGGGATGTGCCTACAACTAAAGTATATGCCCTTGACCAGAATCAAACCTGGGACCCTTCAGTCTGCAGGCCGACGCTCTATCCACTGAGCCAAACTGGTTAGGGTTAGGTGAAAATTTTAAATGAAATAGTCACCTCATACATATAAGGAGTGC